TAGTATCTTAATTGTGATAACATACTCAATTAGAATTGAGATGCCTTATTTAGTTTATACGCGAATTATTTAGCTTGCATCATTACATGGTCCTCCACTCCCAAAAAAAAAAACAAAAAAAGGTAGAAGAAGAGGAACAGAGTGAAGGGGAATTAACACGACTATGTATGTGCATGCAAGTTTCACATTGTTAATTAACTTTTAATCAAATAATAGGGCAATTTGTTTACAAGCAAAAAAAATGATTGATGTCACTAATTAAAACACATGGTTTTTGTAGTGAAGCACCCACTTAATATGATTATATGAGTGATTAATTAATAGAAACATATAATTTAAAATCAGATGAACAACTTCACAATCGGAAAATATATTGCATAGGTTGTTCCTAAATTAAAATTTTATTCATGCAAAATGATTATACATGAAGTATATCTTAAACTCATATAGCTTTGGAAAGAAGAGATAAATTGTTTAGTAATTTGGGTTATGACAGTTAAAATATTTCAAAGTAGTGTGTGAATTAAAATACTAAATTTTTCATTATCAATTACATTTTGTCTTTTCAACTAAAAAATTGGCTGCGTATAAAATTTTCTACTGATAGTCTATTTCATCACTAACATGCTTAACTTATAAAACTAGATCGAGTCCATAAATCATCATATCTTGAGCTTGGTCATATTACAACTTAAATTAGAAAATTTCTACATACTAATCTATACGTTAGTTATTCAGTAGGTTTTGAAAAAAAAAAGGCAGTCAAAACATAAGAAATTGTCAACACGTCGTTTTGTCTAATTTCATCCTCAAGGAGATTACAGTTTGTAGTTGGTTGAGTCAACCAATAGGTGTGCTATAAGACATGCTAAAGATGACGCTAACATATTTTTATATTAATATAAATAAATAATGATATCACTTTCAACTCTTTGCAGCCCCATTTTCTCATTTTGTATGACATAGTTGACCACTTCCCATGAATAATTATTATTATTATTATTATTATTATTATTATTATTATTATTACATAGTACATACTTATCAATTGTATTTATCGTAAGACGTGAATGTAATTTCTTTGCCACTTTCTTAAGTTCCTACCTAATCTTGTGCATTGTTAATTCAGCGAGTATGGCGGTGGGCAATAAAAAAGGACCAAAATGTAGCACATTGAAAGAAACACAAACAGAATGGAGGACTAAGAAGAAGGACGAAGAGATATATATGTGCGTTAACTACGTGTGTCCTACACAGTGGCGGATCTTGAAACATTTTCTATTAGGGGTCGAAATTTTTAACAAGTTCTATTATTCCTCATAGCATTTCACAAATATTATATAAATTGAATTTAATACTTCGTATCAAGCAATTATCTTATAAACAAGAAAAAAAAATGATAAATTGACTCAATTGCACAATTAATATATCCGTTTATTATCATTTATGATTTGTAGTGTTTGACCTTATATATGGTATACATAGTTTTTTGTATAAAGTTTTATTTAAGTGTTAAAAGGATGGAAAAAATCATTTTTTTAACATAACTAAAGAATTTCAATACCATATATTGAGTAAATTTTGATAACATGAATTGACAATCATTCACCATTTTTTTTAATTGTATGGAGACATGAATTAAGCACTTGCAGTAGTGTTGCATGCTCATAGGGATATAGAGAGGAGAGTCAGTAATAATAAAATGGTAAAGTGGCTCACTTTATCATTATTAGTTGTCAAATTGTTAAAAGAAACTCTATCTTTTAATAATACCTACACTTCTTATTTTATACAAGTATATTTAAAGCTTATGTGGTAGTTGGGTTGATTTTCTTGTTTTGGGTTTCTTTGTCGTACAGTCCAATATTTTTTTTTTCAAAAAGCTTTCAGGGGCCGCGCCCTTGGGAGCCTCACTGAAGGTCTGCCTGTGGTCCTACACTCCTACTAGTTAAAGCAATAGGAGTTGTTAGTTGTTTTAGTGCAATGGATTTGCGTGTTACTTAGAGAATATAAATTGTTTCGGATAAAACAATGTGGTCAAAACTTTAACCTTTATTTATGTGGGTTGAAAACTGATTCAGACCGAGAGTAGTTGAGTCGAAGTCACCTGCACAGAAAAGTCCGTTAACTGGCTCTGGAGTGTGTCTGAAGAAACCCCTCCGATGCCTAAGTCAATACGTGGGATTGAAGTTCAAGGAGAAAATTCAGTACTATGCAAATGTAATTAATGTGAAAGTGTTTGTAGATACCTTTGCTTGGTGAATGTTGGGGTATTTATACCTTGTTTGGGATGTCAAGTGTGCCCTTTGACACACTTGGGCTGGCACATACATGTGCTTAGGCTTGATTTGTTTTCAATGACGTCTTTGGCACATGGATCGTTAGGCCTTTGGCACTGGGCCATTTAACGACCGGTCCAAGAAGGACTATTTTTGGACCCCAAACAGAAATTGTAAGTCGGCTTGGTCTTAGAAGTGGAGCCCTTTTATATATATACTCATTCAATCACTAGACAAAAATTAGGAGGTTTATTATTTTTCTAATGTTATTGTTTTAATACTTCTGTGAACTAGAATTCATAATATTTGGATATATAAATAAAACTCTAAGGTACTTGGACATTTGAATAAGAAATTTTTTCAATTGCACATTGTTAAGTAATACAAAAATAATATACGTCGTATACGATCGGATTCTCCCGTGCCTAGTCCAAGTAACACCTAGGTCGTTGTTTCACAAGGGGTATCCGGAATTGTTTAGAAATAGGTGAAATTGGTATTTGAATTAGGGAAGGTAAAACTTAAAAGTTAATTGATGGGAAGAGTTGTAAGGTTACAGTGTACATTAGATCCCTAGGTGTATATAAGAATTTGTATATAGAAGTAAACAAAATGTACTAACAACTCGGCTAACAGATCATGCTCAGTTTGCACACTAAGGGGGTGTTTGGTATGGGTTTTTGGTAGAGTTGGAAACGGAATCAATTACCGTTTCCCTTACAATGTGTTTGTTTAATGGCAAAAGAAACAAAAACCGTTTCTTGCCTCTAACCGTTTCCGTTATTTTGTTTCCAGAGTAAAGTTTGAGGAAACAAATAACGTTTCCGGACTTTAACACAAGAAAACAAAGTTTTCTCTCTCATCTCTCATCTATTTCGACATTTTCATCAGAAATTCCCAAATTTTTTCTACAATTTTCCTGATAATTCTCTTAAGATCATAGCGATTCTCCAAATTTCGCTCACTTTTTTTCAATTATCTACTTCAAATCAACAAGAATCCTCAATCTCAGGTTTGTTTCTCTCATTTTTTTTGTTGAAAAAAAACCCTAGATTTTGATTATGTGTTGAATTTGTATATATTTTCATTCTGATTGTTTGTATTTTGATTTTATATCTCAAAATACATGGATTGCTATTTAATTTCCATAATTTCGATTTTATAATTATCTGTCATTTCTCTCGTTTAATTTTTAGGGTTAATATGATATCAATTTCTAGGGTGGTTGATATCAATTTCGATTTTCTGCTAAATTAGATTGTATATATTGCTATTTATTCACCATATCAAGGCGAAAACAATTTTACAGTAGTTCAAATTGAATGATTGCTCTTTTACCTCTTTTGTTCACCAATTTTAGGTGAACTAGTCCTAATCTACATTCTATCTCGTGTTTAATTGGTTGCAGTTCAAATTTGTGTTTAATTCTTTGCTACAATTGAATGGTTGTTCTTTTAACAGATTATGAAATCTTGTAAGATTCATTGTTGATCTTGCGTAGGGACTTGGTTCGGTCTTTGCACTTGCACTTTACGACGCTTTTGAGTAATGGATTGTTGGCGTATAATGGTATATAGATTTTGTGATAACGTGATCTATATGTTCTTGTGGCTGGTGGGGTTAGTATAGCAAATTTAGCAATAGTTGTTTGACGTTTTGAAAGGTCATATAGTTTGCTTGCCGTAATTGACTGGTATGGTAGTAATTATATGCCCGTTAATTGTGCTGGAGATTGAATGTGGCGAAAGCTAATGTGTGGTTCTGGGAACCTAGTTAGCTGTCTTTTTTGATTATCATAACATATTTTATGCATAAGCTGTGTACACCAAGACTTTGTCTAAAACTGTCAGTCATACGAAGTGTTGTTTATATGGTTGATATCAATTATTGCTTGTGTTAAGCATTATGTGCTTTGTTTTGCTAGAATTGCTAACAATCTGACCAGAAAGTCATGTAGCAAAGTAGCACTTTTATTATTGTTATGTCTTGTGTTATTTTGCCATTGCTTGTGTTAGGATCATGTGGTTGTTTTTTTAGAAATTATTTTCTAGTCACTGATGTTTGTGAAAGTGTATATTGATACTATTGTATATTTTTTGGACTGGTTTTTCAAGGTTTCTACAATGCCTCGACTTATGCGTTCCATAAGGAAGAAAAAGCTAAAACAAATACAACTAGTTATTTCAATGGTTATTATTATTTTGATGATGTATTGGATGTGGCATATGATGTGTGGTGTTACAATAAGGGGTGTTCAATTAAAAGAAAGGAAAAGAAACAAAAAATTGCTACGAATGTTAGTTTTGAGAGGGCTTTATAGAGAGAGTGATGTGAAATGCAAGAGTGAGCTTCGCGTTAATAGAAGAACTTTCAATATTATTTGTGAGATGCTTAGAGATATTGGGGGTTTAAGTGGAACAAAAAACATGTCGCTTCAAGAGATCGTAGCATGTTTTTATACACGTTGGCTCACCATAAGAAGAATAGGTCTATTGGACAATATTTCTTTAGAAGTGGAGAAACCGTGAGCCGACAATTTCACCTTTGTTTAAGGGCTTTTCTCAAGTTCCATGAAGTACTACTTTACAATCCCACGCCAATATCGGATGATTGTGAAGATGAAAGGTGGAAATCTTTCAAGTTATTGGTTTTTTCTAAGCCCTTTGCTAGGATTTTCTTATTTTTGCTTGTTTGTAAGTAATATTTTTCGTATTTTTGTAGAATTGTTTAGGGGCATTAGATGGGACTTACATTAATGTAAATGTGCCTTCACAAGAACGACCAAAGTATAGAACAAGAAAAGGAACAATTGCTATGAATGTATTGGGTGTTTGTGCACCCAATATGCAATTTATTTATGTTCTTCCTAGTTGGGAAGGTTCGGCCCATGATATGCGTGTACTTCGCAATGCTCTCTCTAGACCAAACGGTTTTAGGGTACCTCGAGGTAAGTGAAGCTCATCATTCTTTTGTGAGTGTATAAGTTTTGTTAGTTTTGGTAGGTAGTAATCCGTTTCTTTAATAACTTTGAAGGTAATTATTATTTGGTTGATGCGGGATATACGAATTGTGAGGGCTTTCTTGCTCCATATAGAGGTCAAAGATACCATTTAAAAGAATGGACGGATCAACAACCCGAAAGTGCCGAGGAGTTCTATAACATGAAACATGCTAGGGCGCGAAATGTGATTGAGAGATGTTTTGGCCTGCTTAAAGGAAGATGGAGTATTCTTAGAAGTCCTTCATTTTTTCCTATTAGAACTCATGGGCATATCGTGATGGCTTGTTGCTTATTGCATAATCTAATTAGAAAATTCATGCCTACGGATGATATAAACGAAGATGAATTGAATGAATCCGATGATGATTCCGAAAGTGATTCCGATGATGAAAGGGAATTTATTACAAGTGTTGCTACTTCGGATCATTGGACCAATTTTAGAAATAAATTAGCCCAAGATATGTTTAATGATTGGAGGGCGAGAGGTAGACATGGTCAATAGCAAACAATGTATGCTTTTTCTTTAATATATGTTTCTTCATATATCTGCTTGTGGCATTTTCTTTTAGATTATTTTTGTTTAATAAGCTTACCATTAGCATATTGTACTCTGAAATTGGAATTATACCTGTTTTATTGTCCTGCCTCTTAATTTGTTTGCTCATGAATTATGCCTTGATCTGTTCTGTGTCAAGGGGATGTTCTATTTTTTTAAACTGATTTTGAGTGTTTTTCTTTTATGCTGCTCTTTGTTATGTACCTTTTTTCTTTTAGTCAAAGAGAAGTTTTGAGGTTGTTGACTGGATTTGGCTTAAATTACTTGCTTACAGGCAGTAATTATATTTTATAGGATCATTTTCTAACTTTGGCCTAATTTTCTAATCTACAATTTGTTTAGGATGGAGACTAGCAATCGAGGAAGAGGTAAAAATAAAAGGTATTGGACGTATGAAGAAGATGCGGTTCTAATAAGATATTTGCATGAGTTGAGTTGCGATCCGAAGTGGAAGTGTGATAATGGGTTTAAGAATGGTTACATGAATAAATTGGAAGAGATGATCAATGGTGTACTTCCTAATTGTGGCTTGAGAGCGGTTCCCCACATTGAGTCGAGGATCAAGAATTGGTCGGAGAAATATAGTGCATTTGCAGAAATGCTATCCACCTCAGGATTTGGATGGGATGCTGAACAGAAATTGTTGCAAGTAGACAAGGCCGTGTACGATGAATGGGTGAAGGTATGAACTGCTATTTATTACACTAACCTTCTTAGTTTCATACTAACTTTGTGAATGTATCTTGAAATCTTGACATAGTGAGAAACAAATCAGTATTATTACCAGCAGATGACCATTCATCTAAATCTGTGTAACAGAACTGGCTTTCTGACCATTCATCTAAATCTGTGTTCTGAGTTTTTCGAAAACTATATACTCACCTGACATGCTATACTAGCTATAATTTAGAAGAAAATTTAGACAGCAAGTATAGTATGATTAGTATGATTAGTATCCATGTTTTCAAGTTGCTTTTGCAAACTCTAAGCTGTTGGTGCCATCAGGTTATTGTTGTTGGTTCAGACTGTTGTTTGTTGATTATGCTTTGTTTTTTGTGGTCGGTCTTGTTGCTTGTTGGTGGCTGTTGTCCTTATGCTGTTACTGTTGTGTTGTCTGTGAGTCTGCCTGCTGGTATATGTCAGTGTGGCTACTCTGTCTTTTGTTGCAGGCTGTGATTTCAGGAGCATTTGTTTTGGTTTCCTGGTTGGTGTATGTTTGTAGGTGACTTTTTAGCTAATATTGGTGTCAATTGGTTTTGGCTGGTTTTCTTAGATTTATTCCTGAATTTTGTCCTATCTCTTGCAGTGAAGGGAGTAGTGTTTCGGTTGTACTTTATATGAGAATTAGTGCTTAATTTTACATTCTCTTATATGGCAGACTCATAAGAAAGCTAAGGGGTTGTATGGAGTTCCATTCGTTCATTATGAAACTCTAGCAGAAATATATGCAAAAGATAAAGCTACTGGAGATGTAAGTGAGTCATTCGTTGATGCCATAGAAGGTATTGATCAAGAGATTGATAAGCAACCATTGATTGTCGAGAGTGATGAAGAAGATGATGTGAATTCTACTAATTCGGACACTTATTCTTCTACAAGTCAATCCGGAAAACGCCCCGTGAAGATAGAGGATGATCATATAACTCCTTCAAAAATGGCAAAAGTGAAGGCTTCTACAATTCATTCTTCCGCAAGTGATTCTACTACTCAATTTGGAAAACGCTCTATAAAGGCAAAGGAGGTTAAGGTGAAAGGAAAGAACAAGGTAAATTTGAAGAGTTTGTGTAGGAATGATGATGATGATTTGGTGGCCTCTCTCCATGATGTTTCCAACAATTTTGGGAAGATATTTGAAAATATCAATGTTAATCTCGGGACTATGGCTAGTGCATGGTCTAAAGCGGAAGAAAGGGAGCAAAGGATGGATGAAAAGGTGAACAAGGTATTGGATGAGGTGATGAAGTTAGATGGCATTTCTCCATCCAAAGCTTTAGAGGTTGCTACTATTCTCATGGCGGAAGAACATAAGCTTCGTATCTTCTATCAAGCACCATTTAACATGAAAAAACAATATGCAATTGATCTTCTTAAGAAGAAGTAGCATTTGATTGTTGTCATGTCTTTGTTTTTTTGTTGAACATTTGCAACTTGAGCAATACAAGTTATGTGTTGGGATTATTCATATAATGATGGACATATTATTAGTCAATGTTTGGATAATTAATGAGTGCCAACTTTGCTTTGTATATATATATTGTTTTTTTTTAACCGTAAAATATGTAGCATAGACAATATTTTTATCTAGGTTATTTTTTTATTTTTTTACCCGTAAAATATGAGCATAGACAATATTGTATTATTCATTCTTATTTTTCGTTTCCGTTTGTTATACCAAACAAAAGGAAACGGAATGGTGATAATTGTTTCCGTTTCCTTTGATGTACCAAACAACTACTAAGGGTAACACTATTTGTTACCCTTTCCCCTCCTAATTTATTTCCATTCCATTTCCTATATTAACTCCATACCAAACACCCCCTAAGTTCAATGGCAGCCATAGATGTATCTCAGATTAGAAAATACTGACACCTGCAAGGCTGCAATGCAAATCTGAAGTGTTGTGTGCTTGTGCCCACTGTCACATTAATGAGCTTAGGCAACCAGAAACATAGCAGTAAATCACCAGATTTATGTACACGGAATAAACAAGTAACAATTTAGAAGAAACATGATCAACCAAAGAGATCACAACGCAACGATAGGATCTCTTGTGCATCAGTGCATGAGCATTCCGTCAATACCAGAGTTCAATGTCATATCAGGAATAACATTACATCCATTCACGGTTTTGGAAAGTCTGCTTCCAACTTTCTACAGACGCACCAACATTGTCCTAGATTTGACTGGTTAACTTATACCATATGTTTAGGACAGAATTCGTTGGATTAAGTGTGTTGTTTATGCTACTAGACATCATTCAACAGCTCAAGAAGGCCAGATTTTGGTTAACAAATTGATGTTGAGATTTGTCAGGTGACTCGGGTCCCTGGAAGGTCTTTCGGGGCATGAATTACAGCATTCACTCCCTCCGCCCCTTAAAAGTGTTGAAAAATGGCTGAGTGAAAAGTACAAAGAAAAAGGTGGATGTGTGGCTCAGCTATAGAGAAATTATAGAGAGGAAAAGCTTAATAAACTATTGTGTAACACTTAATATGGGACATCCCAAAGAAGTCCTTTATATATGGAAAACTTAGAAAGAGACAGAGGTATCACCGTATCAGTGAAACAAAATTCCTATGAAAATTTAAGGATCTGTAGTTAATGTGGTTTAAAGGGTTAATATAGGCTTAAAAACTGATAAATGTCACTTGTGAAACTGGACCCTTCCATACAACATCGTCAGAGATAAATTTCACAGGTATCAAGAAGGAAGATTATGTGAAATGCAGCTTTGCTAGATTCAACTCTGATTAAGCCTTCTGTCAACTATGCTAGTACGCTCACAGAGGGCATGGGTTGCATCTTATGCATAAACAAAAAGAAATCGTTTCATCTCAGGAACCTTTCTACAATCCTTAAAGTACATAGCAGAGAGCGGGAAACAGATCCACTAGTTTCGCTTTAAATGCAGAGAGAGGTTCACAACAGCATCTTTAACTATTTCACTTACTCGTAACTATATTATGCAATATCACAGTTGAGTACCATCCCATTTAAAACTATCTCCTGATAATTTGTTTGAGATGCGCATAAGTATAGCTCTTGCCTGGAGAAAGGATCATCCATATACCTTGAGAGTATGCTTGGATTCGGACTTTTGTATAAACAGGTCAATAACAACAACAACAACAACAAAGCCTTAGTCCCAAAATAATTTGGGGTCGGCTAACATGAATCTGTTATAAGGATAAGACAATAATAGAGAGAATGAAGGTGGCTGGAGGTGGTGATAAGACAAAAGGCCAACATAAACTTCATTTTAAGGTTCATCAAAGTTGTAGCAAAATCAAACAACTCTAGGTAAGTATGCATACATATGGCATTGTGGAGCAGACCAATTACATTGGATATATGTTTGATTTGTGAGTGATAGAGAAGGAAACCATGGCACGACAATCCTAATTAACTGATTTCTCTCTTTTGCGCCAGTTGAAATTAGACTGCTATAATCACAATTACATTGGCTATTACTCTATTAGCATTGCGCTTACATATTAGACCCTATAAGTTCTCATAAGGACTAATAAGTTTTAATAAGTAAAACCTGGTAAACAGAACACACCCTTAGGCCAGTGAGTGAGATTTCTGCTCATTGCAGTCACCTCCGGGGTTCTTCGCACCTGGATCTAGATTACTATAATTACAATTTGTAACAATGTTCTACTTTGTTAGATATAGGCGTATAGCTTTTGATTCTTGCACCTATCCTCACAAAATCATATGTAAAACGTTTGAAATTACATCATATCTGAGATAAATACCATCAAAATATTTATAAAAGATGCAAGGAAAATTTTATTATTATTTTCAAAAGATAACACTCCTGTATAAAATTTCCTATAGATAAGAGATTTGAATTGAAATTATTGAGGCTAATTTAACTCATGCCCCAACCTTTTTACGACCTGTACAAGCATGAAATACCGGTTGTTTGACAGGAAGAACTGATCGCGCAGAACCACACTGCTCGCATCTGAGAAACATGATACGATTTTCTTTCGAAAAATTCGTGTCAGAACTCTTACAACCATGACAGATAACATAATCCATGGCATATCTTCTCAGTAACGCTTCAAAGTGTTTCGGAGCAAACCTTCCATTAACCACCAACCGCTGTTTCTCATCCAAAGACAAAGTTGTAGCCAGTTCCATCTCCATAAAACTTGCAAGATATTTCGGATCCCTGTGCATAATCTTGCAGAAATCCATGAAATTGACATGAACTGTCTTTTTGGAGCCTTGACGCGCCACCAGTGGGACTGGCAGCTTCATAACCGTCTTCTGCCTGTCACTAAACCCGCCCAAGTAAATTCTTTCTAAAAGCTCTTCATACTGATAATCTCCGTTGCCAGTATCCTCCTGGGAACTTCTGATGACTTGCTCCTCTTCATTGCTATCCATTGCATTCTCCGACTTGGCGACTCTCTTCTTTTTCTTCTTACTAACCTTCAATGGTTCTACACTATCAGCAAGACTATTCTTGTCCATAACTCTGGTGTTATTTTTGAGTTGTTTGAATGGATTGGTAGGGTTTTTCAGAATTGGGATGAGTTGAATAATGGTCTCTAAAGCTAAATATATAGGGTACAACATCTTGGTAAGCAAGGCAAGTAATACGGTTAGCAAATATGCTAATCTAACTCTACAAGGAATCTAATTAGACTATTTCCTAAAATAATACCAACATTACCAAGTACTTTGTAATATCCTCTATTCCTCCTAATTATTAAAAAAATATAAATACATATATACGAAACACAAGGATGGCCGCCATCATTGTTTTCTTATCACATCCACAGTACAATCATCACCGATCAACATTTGCTACTACTACCGTATTTATCCCTTCCTTTTGGGCTTAAAATTGACATATAAACTCAAATTAACATAAATAATTAACATTTAACAGAAAAGAGGAGGATTGTGAAAACAAAAAGAAAGGGTTGATTAGTCGGCAAATTCAACGGCAATGGAAGGCTAACATCAAAAAAAATTCAGCAGCCCTATGATGGAAAACATAAGAATGTAAAACATGTTATTACCGCACTAGTAATTGCAGAGCTTTGCTTGCCGTCATCTTTACCGCTCCGACGAGAATAACAGATATTTCCAATGATCGACTTCTCAGCCCCACCGTCGTCGATAGTACGTTCTCTAGGATGATAAGATTGATAACGTTAAAGAGATGAGAATAATAGATATTTTGCTTGCTCGTATTAGACATAAGGGCTGAACATGGTCTGGTTTAACCAAACCAAACCATAATAATACGGTTTGGTGCGGTTTGGTTTGCGGTTTATGATGAGATGATATTTTTTCCTTAAAAATTGTCAAATGATACGAGTAATTCCATGTTCCTCACTGTGAGGAACCTCATGGGGTATGTGTCAAGAGTAAAGAGGTCCACCCAAAACTGATAGGCGATTCCCATTAGTGAAAAACATCACATTATTTTCCAAAATGTCATTACGAGTAACAAAAGTATTCCTCAAGGTGGGAGGCTGAGACCAAAATATGACCTATTGAGTACTGACCGTATAGTTGTATTTTGATTTTTCATGTTTTTTTTTAAATTTTTTTTTAAATTTCTTTTTTATAATATATAATAACTAATTTTTTTATTTATTAATTATAAAAATATTAAAATACGGTTTATTGGTTTACGGTTTGGTTTGGTTTATAATTTTTGAAAAACTAAACCAAAAAACGTATTCACAAAAAATTCGAAACCAAACCGTATTTTTATAAATTGTAAACCAAACCAAACCGCTAAAAAATATACGGTACATCCCTATTAGACATTGGGAATATGCGGGGAATGAGGGTTTTCAAAAACCAATACTATAAAACATCTTTTGGTGGTTTCCTCTATTCCGTTGCAGTCTTGTAAAAACTATTCAGATTTTATTTTTTTAAGCGATGTAGCCAAACGTGGTTTTGTTTAATTTTTGTTTAAATAAATTAAAAACAAAAAACCACAATAACCCCAAACGCCCCCTGAAAATTACACTGCATCAAAAAAATATACGGTACAATTTACACAAGGGCTAATAATTTTTTATAATTAGGGATCGTTTGGTTTGCACGGGATAAACGGAATGGAATGAACAAAGGGAAAAAAAGAGAACATAATGAAAAACCTCTAAATTTACTATGTTGTTTGTTTTAAAGAACAAAGGGAAACAAAAAAACCTTCTTCGACCACCCCACCACCACCACCTATTTTCTACTTTCCCACCATTTCCAGCCACCCCTCGCCGCACCTCCCCTCCCCTCCCCTCACCTCCCCCGCCCCTTGCCAGCAATCACGTCCATCTAAACCCTTTCTCCACCCTCGCAAAAACCTAAAAAACCCTCCTGTAAAATCGGTCGACACTCCCCCACCCCCACCAGTGTCAGCCGATTTTTTACGGGGAAGGGAGGGTTTTTTAGGTTTTTGACGGGTGGGGGAGATCAAGGAGGGCTTTTTGGGGGCGGCGAGGGTTGGGGGAGAGGTAGCGGTGCGGTGGTTGGGTTTCCAATGGTGTGGGTAGGTATGAGGGAGGTGGTATGGTAGTGTTGTGGTTGCTAAGGAATGAAATGGAAATACCTAGGAGGGTGGAGAATGAACTTGGAAGGATTTGGGGGAATGAAGAGGGTAAAGGGAATGAAAAAAAAAGGTCTAACAAACAACAACAAAGGAAATGAGGGTTATTGATTCTCATTCCCTTTGATGAATAACCCCAACCAAGCGGGGGGAAACAAATCAAAAGAACAAAGTTTGGCTAGGGTCTTTCATCAAATCATTAGCCTACTATCGATATTTTTCCATCACATGATGTTGCATTTGGAAATAAACGGATGAAAGGTAGATAGATGGAGAAGGTCAAGAAACGTTAATACCAAATGCTCCATTAAATTCAATAATAATTCCATTACAATCTACAATAAGGTTACTTTGGGAGAAGACCTCTATCCTTATCACTCTGCCGTCTGCAGAGTGAAGTTTTGTAAAGCCGACAGCTTCTCAAAAATAAAAAGTCCAGACTTTTGCAGATTTTTAGAATGTCTCAAATTACAAAGAGCATAAGAAGCATATACAGTTTTTGATCCTTTCAACAACATCCAGACTACAGAATTTCAACCCCTAGATCATTCAATCGAGTAAACATTCAGCTGTTTTATAAAACAGCATAGTTAGAAGTCCTACTCCACAGTAAGTAGTACTCTGTAACAATATTCTTTTCATAGTTCCACAAGAAAAAGAATTGGTATAGGTCTTATGGACCGAATGCATACATTCAATCCCACAGAATTCAGAGCTTGCACCATATTAATCCGAAAATTTTACTATCAACAAAAACAAGAATATGGGACTGAATGCTACTTTGCATACCATTTAACATCATATGAGACTGAATGCTACCCGTAGTTTCTTAATCAATTTATAAAAAAAAAAAAAAAAAAAAAAAAAAAAAAAAAAACCCTTAGACAATGCTGAACTTCTCAGCCAAATTGATACCAAAAATCCAAAATAGAACCATAAAATCAATGGGGAAAGATTCCCATTCAAACAAAATTGAAACTAGCATTAATGTAAGAGACACAATTCGCTTAACTATTAAGTCAGACATTTTTTACACTATCAAAATTCCAAAACATCAACCAAAATAAGAATCTATATAATTCTCCAATATCCCCTCCCCCAAAATTTTAACTAGTAGTAGAGTATTCAAGGAATTTAAAATATATTAAAGAGACAATCAGTAAGAAACAAGGGTAATCAATCAACCCAAGACATTCAGATGCCCAAACACCAAAACCTAAGAGCAAACCTAGTCGCCCAGATCACACAGAAATGCAGCAACAACAAACCCAACTGTAGTTCCAATCAGAGATACAGAAGGCGTAGGAAAGAAATCAACGGACAGCAAACAATAAATCTTTGATAACAATGGGTATCAAAACCCATATTGCACCACAATTTATAACTCTGAAGATTACATTATACCCCATCAAAAACTCAACTCATAAAATTCCACTTCAAAAAGCAGATTTGTCATAAACCTTCTGCACATAAAGGATAAATTGCACTTTCATAGTTTCATTTCATCAGCCAATTTCTCTTTTCAAATGAAAGTTCAGAATCAGAAACAAGTCTTGTATGCAGATACATAACATTACCCCTCATATTAGTCATATAATAATAATTCAAGTATATGTTTCAGGTTACCACTTGGGATAATAATTCAAGTATAATACTTAATTCAAGTATAATACTACATTCAAGTATAATAATTCAAGCATAATGTACAAATAACTAATACTACCTCTTCGGACGTGAAAACCATGATACTGTGGATCATGAGTAGTCTACTCCGCCCAATTATTAAAACGATCAATCTACAACGAAACTACACACCTAATAAACAGCAATGCAACCCAAGCAAATGAGTAAAACGATCAATCTACAATAAAAGTTTTTTCAATTCTCAACCAATTAGAAACATAATCCACCAAAGAATCGATAACAATTTAACACTAGTATGATAATATCTAGTTACTACATAACAAAATAGATACTACAAAGTCATACATTGTTGTATTCCAATACCAAAATTCGATATAACAGCAACAACCAAATTAATTGATATAGTATCTAATAATAATAATAATATTCAAAAGTAGAGTTAATCCCTCAAGTACAAAGCAGAGAGCGGGAAACAGATCCACTAGTATTGCTATAAAAGCAGAGAGAGGTTCACAACAGCATCTTTAACTATTTCAGTTTCTAGTACTCGTAGCTATATTATGCAATATCACAGTTGAGTACCATCCCATTTTAAACTATTTCCTGATAATTTATTTGCGCATAAGTATTGCTAGGATAAAGATAATCCATCTACCCTGAGAGTTGAGAGTATGCATGGATCCGGACTTTTGTACAAACAGGTAATAGAAGAAAAATAGAGAGAATGAAGGTGGCTAAGCAGGGTATACCGCATGGCTGTATAACACAATTGTAACCCATCACCAACAACTTGGCAAGAGTTCATGAGTGCAATTTATGCAATGAGAAAGTGCAACACAGAAAATCGATGATAAACAACACTTTCCAATAATCATAAATTGAAGAAATAAACTGAGGGATTGATTCTTGTTTATACACAATGTTCACTCATATGATTTACTCACACAATCAAATATTTACACAGCAAATAAACAGCAATGCAACCCAAGCAAAAGAGTAAAACGATCAATCTACAACGAAAGTTTCTTCAATTCTCAACCAATCTGAAACATAATCAACAAAAGAATCGGTAATAATTTAGCACTAGTGTGATGATATCCATTTACTAGATAACAAAAGCGATACTAAAAAGCCATACATTGTTGTATTCCGATACCAAAATTCGATATAACATCAACAACCAAATTAATTAATATATCTACTAATAATATTCAATAGTAGAGTTAATCAAAACATAACAAGCATAGAAAAGAGACAATAAATCAAGAAACAAGGATAAGCAATCAACCCACGATGTTCCGAAGCGCCCAATTCATCGACCGACAAAAGCCGAGAGCAAACCCTAGTAGCCCAGATCACGAAAACCGCCGCAACAACAAACCCAGCTGTAGTTCCAGTAGGAGGAAGAAACAACGAAGCCGCAGAGTAGATAACAATAGGCATCAAACAATACCCAACAACACTAACACAACGATAAAGATCCAAATTCCCATTTCTCCCAGCAAGAAAATTCAAGATCATGTAAAGAAAAATCGAAGAAATCGCAATCCAACCCAAAATCACACCAAATTGAACTTTCCCAGCGAGTAATTGAAACAACCCAAAAGCGATGTAGTACAAGAAGGGTCCAGAAAGATCGGGGTCTGAATGGAGAGATGAGTTGACACGAAAAGGGTTGAGTAAAGAGCGAGTTTTGCGCCAGATTAAGGAGGGGTTGATCTCGAGTTCTTCAAGGAGAGGGGGTTCGTCGGAAAAGAGGCCGCCGGAGGAGGAGGAGGAGGGGATGTCGTGGCGGAGGTGCGGTGGTGGGAAGGCGGAGGAGGAGGAGGAGGAGGCGGTGGCGGATCCGATGTCGAAGGACATGAAAGGGATGGAGGAAGGGGGGCGTTGGGGTTGGAATGGTGCGGTGGGGACTTGGCGTTGGTGGAGCATGTTAGGGTTCGGGGTGGCGGTCGCCGGAGATGGGCCGGACGACGGGAAGTTTACCGGCGGGATTGTGAATTCTTTCGGCATTTTGGTGGTGGTCGGATCTAGAAAGAGGAGAGAGAGAGGTGTATGAAAAAGAGTTTCGGAATTCGGAATAGCCTAATGTTTAACTGAGAATCTGACTATCTGAGATATGTATTCCAGGGGCAGTTAGGTAATTTAGTAAGGTGGGTAATAATTTTCATTACCTATTACACTATTACCTACTATAGACACCTAAATATGTCCCCAAGTCGAAATCCGACGACGAGGGAAGCCCTTTTTTTCCCATTTGGTTCTGGTTTAGTAGTATAATAAAGGAGTACTTAATTTTATTTTAAAATCCATTTAATCTAACTTTTCTAGCCCACATTTATTTTAATCTTAAGCCCAATCCATTTGTTTTAATCTTGATTCCTATTTTTATTCTTATTCTTATTTTCTAACTCAATTTTCTAAAAATAATCTAAATTATAAAGTAATTTGAGTTTGAAATAAACTTCTGAAGGTCTAAACGCGTTCAAAAATGTATTAAAAAGGATGAATTTTTATAAACCGTGACATACAAAGACTAGTTTTACTAAAACTCAAAAAGTTGAAATTTAGCGTATGGCGACGTTTGCATCGCGTCGCAGCGGGTTTCGTTGCGTCGATGTCCATCGTCACGCGACGTAACCATTGCCACATGATGATCCGGAGCTGGCGCGATGATCTTTTTGATTTAGACGATTTAATTTTTATCTTTTTCCGTTTATTTTTCTATAAATACCATGGCCTGTCGTGGGTTACGGACACCGTTTTTTGCTCGCATATTCCCTCATGCTCTAAATCTCCCAATCTCTCTCATAATCTTTCAAAATTCCTCCTCCGAGTGCTCCTATACATCAATACTTCACCCGAAACTCTATTGGCGGTCTACGGCGTGAAAGGTTGACCATAAACCTGATGGTTTCAGTCTAAACTCAATTTAATTTGTTTTCTTTAATTTAAATTAGTTTATTTCGATTTATATATTTTATTGAAGTTTACTAACCGTTTATTTATGACTTAGTTACAAGGTTTTGCAATCAAAGTAAGTAGATTTATTTATTCCTTTGTTTAATTTATTCTACGATATTTATTCTTGCTACCATCATGTTTAGGGGTTTTATTTTTAATTGTTAGTATCATGTTTAGGCGTTATATTAACCTTGTTGGTATCATGCCTAGGATTTTATTAATAATTGTTTAGTATCACGTTTAGGATGTTTAATTCGTTTCTCTAATTATTATTGAGTTGCTTCCAATAATTTTTATGCATGCTTATTTATTTTATATGATTTGTATTTATTTTTTTTAATCACCTATATTGCATGTTTAATTGGGAATGTGTAATTGAAAATCACGCCTAATAAGATATTTTCGACAACCGGTTTAGGTTCCCAGTAATCTTGTTGTTTAATTCAAGTGATCACAATAATTAGATTTATGTGAGCATTAAACATTTAACTGACTTAGATTAATTAGTTTGGAGCGAATTGAATCTTGTTTGTATGTCTTTTAATTTGCAAATAATACATGTCGCTATATGAATCGAGTAGAGGCCAATACGAGCGAAATTGGGTTCATGACTCAATCCGTACCATCATCCCTGAATATCTAGTTATGGTTCAGGGCCACTATGGAGTTAGTAATCTCATGGATTATGAATGGGGTTTAACCTTCATGGATCAAATTGTTGTTGACTTTTGGTTTGTCCCTTTTCGTGGTTGCCTTTAATGATCCATGAACGGTTTACGAGTTCCTTACAAACTTGTTGGCGGTTCCCAATTTTTTTGTCCCTATCGTATATTGTCAAATCCAACTTCCTGTGATTGCCAAGCATATTCACCACATGCTTAAATAGGCGCAATTCGAGCGACACCTACAGTACACCTATGCTTCATAATAATCACAATAGTAGTAGGTATTGCACACTCCCTCCGTTTCGTAATAATCGCAATAGTAGATATTGCACAAAGTTTAAGGAAATTTATAGAATAATCGCAATAGTAGATAAGCATTTAAGATGTTACTTAAAAGTGGTATTAATTTGGGAATGCATGACAAAATCACGCGGCAATCAGTGCAATTAATGTTCATTTTAATTTAATATTTCTACTTTTAATTATCTTACCCAATGCCCCCGGGGCATTCATAGCTTTTATGCAAGTACTATACTAACTCATCTCTGTCTCTCTCTTCTTTACAAACCTGCAAAAGTATTAGACGTACTTATCTGCCATGGGAGATTGTAAAGCTACTATTGGAAACAAATCTATCTTCTATCTATTAATAATATTATTAAAACTCAATGGGATAACATGGTATCGACATGTGCCATCCTTCCCTTAACATATTTGGCGCGACATGAGCAATGACATGTCAAGACCTATTCATCTATACTAAATGCCCAAAATCAATCCAAATTTATAATTGAGTTATAATTTGAACCATTAAATTTAAGAACGACATTTACCATCAAACTTTCAATGCCTCTTAATACTTATTATTCTTAACAGAATGATTTAACTATGCGTTTTAACTTTCTAATTTGACTGTAGCTAGTGGCGGATCCACGAAGGCACAAGGGGTAGCACATGCTACCCCTAAAAAAAAGTTCAAAGAGACTGGTTATTTCAGATAACCGATCTCTTAAAAGGATGCCATAACAGCTAGTATAACACAATGAAACAAATGCACGCTGGTTTGCATGTTACAATCAAAGAGACTAATCAAATAAACAGATCTCTGTGGTTCTGATTTTACTTTTTTTAAAACAAACTTTTTTTACTTTTTTTTTTAACAAAATCAATACAAAGTACTTTTCATTATATTTGTGCATATATATTTTTTTTTTGAAAGACTTTCATTCAAGTTATTAAAAAATTATTAGTAATCTATGATTTTTTATTATAAAATATATTTACTTATACTTTAATTAGTTTTGAATCATCTTGTTTATGGAAACAAACTACTCCTTGGAGCGTTAGGGTAGGGTATCAAGATGTCCTAGAAACTATGTCCAAGTATTGTCCAAATGTTCTTCGGCTCCGCCTAGCACGGGTATGTCCGAGAGCTCCGCCTTGCACAAGTATGTCCGAGAGCTAGACCTGCAAAACAGAGAAGGTTAGCTGCCCCGGGGGTGTGACCCGGTAAAGCCCCTCCAATGCTTAAGTCAGCGAGTGTACTTCTAAAGAGAGAAAGTAGAGAGAGAGTGTACTTAGAAAGAGAAAGTAGAGAGAGAAGGAGAGAGAATTAGGAAAAAAGTCCCTCTCATTAATGAATGATGAGCTATTTCTAGTTGTACTTTTCAGATGGCAAAGTTGTACTTGAGTGGAGAGATTAGGGGTAAATCTGTACTTTACCATGACTAATGATGGGCTGGATCTTGGAGGGGTATTTTCGTCATTTTAGGTCACTGGGCCTAGTACAATGGACTTGACCCAAATATTTAGCCCCACGTGAGATATGTGAACGAGACCGCATGAAGTTCGGATGTCACGCGAAATGAGCGAATTTGAGGTTGAGAAGCTGTCATGTGTGCTGGAATAGCTTTTTAGGCGTACCCGAGGGCTAAAATAAGCCCCAGGCGACTTGCAAGGGTGAATACCAGCCCCAAGCACTGCATAAGAGGTGTTTTAGTTGCAATAGTTGGGCTGTTTTGATAAATAGTCTGAGAGCTAAGCCTAATAATGGATGATGGTTTACAGACAGCTGAGAGCTTTTCTCTTTTTCAATAATCTTCTGAGGGTTGAGCCCCTTGTATATTGCTAAAGGCATGACTTGGACTGATTTTCGGCTAAGCTTTGTATTAAGAATAAATTGATGACAGTTGAACGCTAATTAGCTTGTAATTAAGCTTAATCTTCCATTAGTGACATTTTGGGCTCAAGTATCACTTAAGCCCACCTGAGCTAGGGTTTTGAGGAGATCACTTCTCTTCTCTTTTCAATACATGAGTACCCTCACTTATTTCATTTGTTCATTCTTGCCTTAGAGAAATTCACAAAATCCTCTCCAATTATTCTCCCAATTTCTTGAGAGTTTAAGTGTTCAAGTCACATCGCTCGAATTCATCCAAGTTCATTGAGATCTTTGTAGGTATGTGAAAAATTTGTATCTTTTGATTTTTTTTGTAGGTCTGAAAGCTATTTTTATGTTTTTGAATTTTGTACCTGGGATTTTTTGAATTTCTGATTTGCCTAGCCGAGGGAGTTTACCATTTTTTTTCCTTTTTTTTTAAATTTCGGCTAGGCTGAGCGGGACGAAGGGGAGCCTGTATTTCAATTGTGTGAAATTGTCGAGTAGGTAGTGGTTAGGTCGAGGGCTTAGGTTGCTGTGAGGTAAGGGGTATAGAGAGAGAGAGAGAGAGAATGGCGGGCGCTTGAGAAAAAGGGGAAGCCGAGGGCTCGGCTTAGAAGATATGCTTAGGGGCCGGCCTTCGGATCTTGGGGTAGAGAAAATATAGGCAGAGCGGAGGTGAGGGATGCCTTGTGGTCGATATGTGTGGTAAGGGCGCATAATGTTGAGAGCTCATCGGTTAGGTGATGCGGAATTAGGCCAAGCGCTCGGCTTAGCTTAGGTGATTGTCAAGTGCTGGGATGTTTGTGAGAGTATTAGGCTAAGCAAAGAGAGCAAGATCGAGTAAGAGAAAGAAAACCAAGAGAGCTGAGCGTTGAGGGTAGGATCTGTTAGCTCTTAGGTCGGATTAGCCGAGAGATAAGAGGGATAATATTTGCTTGGTTGAGAGATAGAGATGTGAGTTGAGAGGAACCGAGGGCTAGGTATTGAGGCCGAGGGCCTTGAGTAGCAGCTAAATGGCCGAGGGGTTGTGACTTGTGAGTGCTACGATGCACCCATGTGCTGAGTGCTGAGGGGAGAACATATTAGTGGAGTGATGCTTAGGCTGGGCGCTCGGCTTCTTATACTTAGACTTCTTCTTCTTCTTCTTCTTCTTAGTATATATATATATATATATATATATATATATATATATGTATATATATATATATATGTATATATATATATATATATGTATATATATATATATATATGTATATATATATGTATGTATACATATATATATATGTATATATATATATATATATACATATATATATATATACATA